CGCCAGTTACGGTTCGTTGCTCAAGTCTAAAGAACTATTGTCAAATCGTTTCCAAAGTGATCAGAAACTAAACAGCGCACATATTTGCAATTAATGAAATTGGTCTTCGATGAAGTTGAAGAATGATAAATTAAAATGCACATACAACCAGCAAAGACACTCAAAAGTGATCACGACTTTCAGGAAGGTTTTCTAAACAATCTATGGGTTTTGTGACGAGGTGACTTCCACCAGTTTCGACGATATCAAGTTTACCTGCCTCAGGAACTTAGCACAAGTCCGGATCGAAGGACCCCGGCTACTAAAACGACGGATACAGTTAAGTAATGCAATTTTAAAAAGGTGAATACGTTTTGAATTACCGTGGATATACATTTTAATCGCACCACTGAACTTGTTCTATTCAGCCCATTCTCCAAAACGTCACCCTAAACCGCATGATTCCAACTAAGGTTTACTGAAGGCACATTCTTTGCGAGCTACTAACTCCACTTTCAGACCGATTATCCGGTAGGATACCTATAAGTCAACAGCTCACGATTCAGATTGGTTTATCCCAGTTAGATATGCCGGTTAAGGAGGCCATCAGGATATACCATTTCAGGATAAACGTCAGTTCTTCTACTATTGGATTGCATAGAACTACGGTGGGCTGAATTATTGGCCAACATGCCGACATTAGCATTATACAATAGATGTTTTTTATGTGATGGAGAAATCTCGGGGAAACCAACAAAGAAGTACGAGAGAAGACGACTCAGCAAACGACTGTTCCTTAGATCACGACAAGGATTGCGCGGCAGTTGCTACAGCTCTTGAAATTCCGCAAAACAAGATTCCTGTTTAGACCAAAGTAGCATCCTAATTGAACTGTGAGGCAACCGCATTTCAAGTACTTTCCCAAATATTAACTCATTAAATCATGGCTTATTCAGTTAGCACGTGAAACCAGGGATGTAGCGGCTGGATTTCCCTACCTCAACCCTCCTCCGCCTGAACAAAAACCCTCCCAAAAAAGGGACTACTCTGATTAAATGTCAACGTTAGTCTCCAATGGGGAAGCAGCGGTTATATAAAATGGGCAAAACACCTACATTTGCGGACATTCCATAAAAAGTACGACGGTTCCTTTAGCCAAGTTGTCAAGGGATTGGTTCCTCATTCATTGTAATTCATCATTTATTACCCTCCCGAACCACATAACGGCAATGATAACCATAGTAAACCATTTAATTCGTCAGTTAACCCTGTATTTTCGGCGTAAGATGTCTTGATAACACTGATGTGAGGGGATGTACGGTTTTTTTTTATTTGTAAGCAACCGTGTGAGCTGTGTTCACACCAAATCAAACCTTTTGGTCCAACAAGGCTCAGTTTTACAGTCCAATTACCAAAATGGCACATGATGGCCATGACTTAGCTTAATGAAGCTCATTTTGATCCTGAAGGAGTCATTTGTCGTACCAATGTAACGGTCAGCAAAATTAGATATTTTTCGGTTATTCCCACGATAAATGTGACTTGTTCAGCGAAACATGGTTATATAGTAGGCATCCTTTATGAACAACTGTGTTTAGCGGTACGTAATCAGCTAGACTATGAACAGAACATGATTTTACATCGGTCTAATAATCGCCTAGTCATTCACGAATTAGGAAATACAGTAGTGATGAACTAACTGGAATGTTAAACACATTGGCTTTTCAACCATAACAAGCTGTCCACCGCAAAAAATAATTTCCTTCCAAGCTTACAAACGAGATCAATCTCAAAATCCAACAAACGTTTGTTTGGATTAGCCTGTTTAGTGGCACAAAGTGATAAGAATGCACGAGGGTTGTCAAAGTCAGTGTTCGCATTTATCGGAGGTAATCTCGGGATGATGAGATTGGTGGACTTGGATTTACATGACAGTGAAACTTCTACCTGTCCATAAAGCATCGTACTGTTGAGCAAAGGCTCTACGAAGATTACCAATCTTAGCTACAGGTAATTTGTGTCGGTTAGAGTTACTCAGACAAGTCGTGAGTGAAAATAAGCTGCAGACAGCCTGTAGGTAATAGACCAATTGAGGGAAGGATTCACAGGTCATCTATTGATTCCCACTAGAGACCAAAATCGTATATATATATATATATATAAATATATATATATATCAACCCATAAGGGATCACAGCAAACAACTTACAGGCTTCTTTCAGACGACCACCCTGAGTTCCTGCACGATTGGCACGTTCTGAGCCGGCCAGGTCAACCAGGCACAGTTGGCTCACGACCAAAAGGTCTTTGTTCTAACACAAAGAGGGCGAGAGACGCAGCGATAAAGTTACATGAGAATAAAATTGAAAATGTGAACCACATTGGTATATATAGATGAAAACGGGAGCATAAACCTCAGGATTCAAACAGATGAGCATATAACCAGAACAAGGCAAGGTATAAGTGGTGCAAAATTTGAGGACGTCTTTAATTTATTGATCCAGTGGACAGATGGAGGCTCTGCCGTAAAATTATTACAACTGAAGAAATGATCAAGGTATAAGTGGTGCAAAATTTGAGGACGTCTTTAATTTATTGATCCAGTGGACAGATGGAGGCTCTGCCGTAAAATTCTCACATTACAACTGAACCTAGATCTCATGTGAGTACACATCTAAAATCGTAAACATAAGTCGCCAAATTTGTTTGCAAATGAGTGCATTTCGCTGACTTCGTGCAATTTGGTCTCAGGTAAACCATAAGGTTAACGAAAACTCGGGGACTGTGCCAACCTGATGAGACCCAAGAAAGGTGAAACCAGTCAAGGGTTGTTGAAGAATATTCAGCAACCTTATGGGTAGTGTATCACGTCTATACAAGTATCGCGATATGTCGAATATCGTAACAACTGAAACACGAGTTGGCCTGGTGCAGCACATTCAGTTGCTTGAAGACGTCATAAACGAGGGATTCAGCTGGGTTCCCGATGTGTCTCTCGAAAAACCGAATTTGTTTGTGTATTTCGCTAATAAGTCACAACTTATGGCTACTGGAAGTTAAATGACCGGTTTGAAAGATATTGTCGGCTCCTGAAAGTTTGCTCACCGTTCTTTTGCTCCTAGCAGGGCTTTTCAGGTCAGGATTGAGAGAACAGCTAACATATGAACTACTCTGTTTAAGGTAGTCGGTTAGATCTAAGTGTACCAGGATTTTCTGCGATATTTGGACGGAGCTAATGGTTTCTGTTTAGCCCAAAAACTCAACTCAGGTAGCAATGAGAACTAAATTGAGCATGAATACCGAACTGTGTCAGAGAATTACATTTCTGAAAGTGTTTGCTGTTGTTGTTGCTGTGAAACGAAAGTGTGCGAATCAAATTCACAATGCAAACGAAATTTTTGGGTTCTTCGCATGTGGATCCAACATAATTACAACCATACAACTACCAGCAGCTTTCGTTGGACTACAATGAGTCTGCTGGATAAATGGACGTAATCACTCAACGGAACAGTGTGAGATCATGATGTTCAGAAATGTAATTATGCTAAATCCGTTTTAATTAAGGCGGGAAGTGGGAACACAGCAGAAGATGCGGACGCAACAGTTTGTTCAGTTTGTAATGCTAAATACTTGAAATAGTATGTGATGAAGAAATACAAACCATACAATTTATTGCCACCAAAATGAATTCCAACCTATAGCGAATTTCGTGAAATGCTGAGTACCTGAAATATGGACGACAACAGCGTCAAGGGTGGATTTAAGCCACTGCGTTCACGTCCCCCATGTGTGTGATCTACATATTTTGGAAGACATCATCCTGCCTCGAGCGACTGTTGACCAAAAATATACTGCGTCTGATTATCCTCAAAAACTTGTTCCGAACCACGCATGAATACACTGTACTCTAGAGATTACAGAAATAAATATGAAATTCAACAAAAGTCTCAGCGGAATCCTCCAACTGAATGTGCTGCAGAAAGACCGTCTTAAGTTTCAGTTGGTTCGATAATCGATAAATCGTAGTACACTTCCTTGAAAGGGCACTACGCATAACAAGCTGAAATATGAGGCGGTCTTAATACAGCACATTCAGTTGAAAAATATCACAAATGAGTGGTTCAGAGGGGGATGAGTAACTCCCGTCATCGATATCCAAACACCCATCCTAAAGTGTGCTCTTCGTTCAGCTGTAGCACCCTTTCGGTGCCTAACTGCCATCCCACCCGAAGGAAGTACGAGGGCTGGGATAATGCCATGTTGTCCAAGCCTAGACAGGGGAAGTGGAAAGGCAGACGCATTCAAACCACGGACCTTCCGGTCAGTAAATTCGCGCTCTAACTACTGAGCATTACTGGTATCCAAACAGATATTTCTCTGTTTAAGATGAATCCACGACGCGTAGTCTCAAGCAAGGAGTGGGATATAAACAAAATAGGTTTTCCAACCTGAGGTCAACAGGACACTCTTTTAGCGAAATACACTTATCTGCACCTTAATTCTGAAGCCAGTCTGTCCCTCTTAATGCGGAAACGTTCAGAGCCAACCTGTTTTGTTGTTTTCTGGGAAGGAGGAGAGCACTGACGGGGTACAAGGTAAGGACAATACTGTAATCCAACGCCTTAACGAATCCTATCAAGAAGTCATCATCATCATCGACAGCATGACATCAGTGTTCAACACCGATGCTTCACTGTCGTACAACCATAACTTATTTGAAAGCCTTATTGTAAAGAAAAGAGTAAAGGGGAGGGACTTAGTGCTAGCTTACCATAATCATTCCGAGGTGCCTACACCTCCAGACATTCACTCAGGCAATCTGGGTAGAAACTGACAACAAAAACGCCACTGACATCGGTTGGCAGCCATATCTTGTAGTGTCCCCAACCAGGCACAGTGAGGATCACG